CATAGTAAACTCAGCTAAATATCTATATATCCTTGAATATTGGTCTCTACCAAGTGCGGCATAGTTATATCCATTCGGAGATTTTATCTTTCAGCAGAACGGAGCCTCCTGCCATACGACTAAATCTACCAAATATGGTTGGGATAACATGACATTAAAGTTTTGTCACATTATTCTAACAGCCCGAATCTTAATCCAATAGAGGCACTTTGACACAAAATGAAACGCCTAAGAAATTACCCTCAGCGTACTTTGCCACAACTACATGCCAAATTACAAGAAATATGAGATTGTTTCACCCCTGAATTCCGTGAAGGCCTAGTTGGTACAATCCCTAATAGAATTCAGGCTGTTTTCAATCTATGGGCGACGTTACAAATTATTAATATTCAGTTTAATATGTTAAAATCCTCTTGTTTCAACATTTAGTTTTCAGCATGTTTTGGCTATCAAACAACTAACTGAATAGTAATCAACAAAAATTACATAATTAAACTGTAAAAATAATTTCATATATCATAAAAAATGTTGTTTATATCATATTTACAATTATAAAAAATTAACATAAAAAATTTCTATAAATTGGTATTTTATTTGCAAAATAACTGCTTGTTCCAACATATAGTTGTCAGGGCTCGTACAACTTCCAAGCTTATTCAATCCGCAGTAGATACACTAGTTAAAAAACAAGCTCCATAGGCCTGTCTTTATCATATACAAAATCAAAAATAATAAAATTTAGTAGACTATCACCCTTCCTATCCCCTAATATTATGATTGAGAGAGCGAATCTTCCAGTAGTCAGGGAATGCAAAATTCTCGGTGTAACGTTTTATTCACGACTCACCTGGAAACAACATATACTAGAAATAAAAGGTGAAGCAAACAAGAGGCTTAACATTATCAAAACTCTTTCAAACTATCATTGGGGCGCAGATGAGAACTCCCTGCTTAAGATATATAGGTCTATCATCAGTTCCAAACTGGATTATGGTTCTTAAATATATATATATATATATATATATATATATATATATATATATATCTGCCTCTAAAACACACCATAAACTTTTAAATTCGATACATCACACAGCCTTACGAATTTGTTTAGGAGCCTTTCGATCTAGCCCCGTAGAAAGTCTATATTGCGAAGCCAATGAGCCCCCACTTTGGATTAGACGCGAACAATTATTACTTTCCTATGCTGCCTTTGTTTCATCCAATACCTTCAATCCAGTTTATCCTCTTCTTACTTCATCAACTAACAACCAGCATTACTATTCTAAATTACCATCAATAAAACCCATTCCACTAATTTTAACAGAATTACTTAATAACATCTCTCTATCACAAACAATCCCACGACCCCTACCTCCATATCCTCCTTGGTCTATAATCATGCCTCAGTTTAACACATCGCTTACAAGATTCGATAAACTTACAACACCCAGGGAACTCATTAAAAAACCTTATAAGAAATTATATATACAAATAAATACGACACAGTACTCTACACTGATGCCTCAAAGAATGATATAGGTGTCAGATATTACCTTTACTTGAAACAATTTGGTGGATGAAAGGCTTAGTGGTATTGGGCCACGAAAAAAAGAAGAAAAATAATAGACTATGAAGTATGCTATGAATGTTAAGTTGTTGTTGTTATTGCAAGTATGTCAATAAATATAATTTTAAATAACTGTAACTAATTCTGTATGTATACAAATAAAACCCAAATCCAACATACGCAAACCTCTTAAAACGGGTAGTTTTTTGGTGGTGCGACAATAGGAGTAGGCTGTTCTGTTACCACGTCAGATAAGCTTATCACATCATCTTGTATCCCCTCGTTTTGTAGCGTTCATTCTTCTTAGGGTGCCTGTCCGTTCCGAACGTTGGCGATCATTTTGGCTATGATGATTTTGTTAGTTGCTATATGAAATAGCTATGTTGAGGTCTTTCTATACCATGTTCTCAGGTTAGCAAGCCAGGATATTCTTCTCCGTCCTGGGGCTCTTTTTCCTTCAATTTTACCCTGCAAAATGCATTGGAGTAGCTCGTATCTGCCTTGATTTCTAGCGTTCATACTGGCGAAATATTTAGCATATTTCAAGCTTTCAAATCCATTTCTTCACCAAATAAACAAGTTACAATATGCACAGACTCACTAGCCTCAATACAATCTATTCAAAATATATTCACTGATAATCTTATTGTTCAAAAGATCATTTAAAGGTTTTAGATCGTTTGTTGTGTGAAAGTTTAAATTCAGCGTTTTTTAAGTATATTTCAAATGCCTCACATTTGTTGCCAAAACTCAAAACTAAAATTTCATGCTATAGGTTTTAAATGTTCGGCTCTAGTCATATATATCTGTATATATATATATATATATATATATATATATATATATATATATATATATATATATATATATATATATATATATAGTCGTAAGATGCATAATTACTTATTGTGCATTAGTGCAGTAGAACAAAATACCGCAATAAAAGACAATAACAGAACAAGGGTTTAGTACCTACAAAATTGGGAGCTTGACTGGAGTTCAGGTGATTTTAAGAGTTAAAACAAATATTAATTTATGACTCTTCAATACATGACAATTCCCATAGAGATTATGTCTGCAAAATAATTTATGGATTCGACCGTTACTTGATGGAAATTCATTTTATGTAACAATAAAACACTGAAAACTTTGTTTTCAAAACTTCCACAAAATTTATTTTAAACTCTATCACTACAGCTTATAATGATTGAATAATAAATAAAAAACCCAATATTCATTATACAAGAAGTTTTTCAAACCATATTTTTTTCAATAGATTTATAAATTTAACAAATACCATTTTTCAAAGTAAAACACTTGCACGTCACGATTTATACAAAGTGACGTCACTTGTATTTAAAATTTCCAGAACATCAACCTTAGAGTTCAAATTTTCCTAACACAGCTAATAATACGAAACCCATACGGAACTGCTCGATCTTTCATAGGCGTCAACATTGTGTAATAATCAGAAAAATATAATCATCATTATATTGGAAATTTTAGAATTATAATGATTAAATAACCAAAAACATTTATTATTAATAATAATATAAATATTATGAAATAACTCTTGAAGTCTAATATTACACAAAATAATAATTTTAATTAAATATATTAGACAATTGTACCTACGCAACTGATACAGCAATATATTAAATATTATTGACAGTTCAGCGGGTGGTAAAAGTGTATAACGTGTTGCCGGTTTTTTAGAGTAGATATTTTGTTTACATTTTAATTTCTTACACAATTTGATCATAATATAATATATATTAATAAATTGTATTTATAAATGCATTTTAAATTTAGATTAATAGCTTTAAAAACTAATTATTGTTGTGTATTGTGATTGTGATATGCCAAATCAAATAAAAGTGTGTAGAAAGCTGATAAGCTTTCATATAAGATAGATTATTTTGAACGAGAAATAATGGCGGGACGTTTTTGTTATTAAAGCCCTAAAAGGGGTATAAGTTTAAAATTTAGAATATATAATTTTGTATTAAAATGTTTTCTTATGTATTTTAGAGTGTTATAGTAGTCTTAAAACTAAGTGTATTTACTGTTACAAATAGTTGACATTTTAAAAATTCCTCACTTACTAACTATTCTGATGTTTTGGCAACGCTGTGGGGTTCTGACGACGTAAATCTTGAATGACGTGCAAGCTTTTTTATCTGAAAAATAGTATATACTAAATTTAGTAATAGCAAGATAAAACTTTTAGTGAACGGATTTAAACACAACTTGCTCCAATATAATAATCAGAAAACTTTAGAATATTTAGGTGTAGAATGTGAAGTACACATTGTATTGATTTAAACAAATCCGAATTGTAAATATATAAAAGAATATTTTGTTTGAAAACTTTTTATTCTAAAATATATATTTTGTAAAAGATAAAGGCATTTTAAAGGTTTTCAAAAAAAATGAATAATGCAATAAGTTAATAAAGGTCGATTCAGACACATCAGTCCCGTCACAGTCTCGGCGCCGAACCGGTCCTGTTTGGTCACAGAACTATTAATTATCTGACAGCTGGGAAACTGTTGGTCGCCTGATGAATGTGAATGCCGGCGCCATATTTCTATTAAAGAATATTTTGTATGGCAGATTGTTCATTGTTCGGTTCGGCGCAAGGACTGTGACGATACGTGACTGATGTGTCTGAATCGACCTTAAGAAAATAATAATTCAAAAAAGGAGGTACCTATGATAATGTTTCATTAGTATGTTTATCGTACACGAGAGGTCAGTAGCAGTTCGTAATTGACATGATATAAGGAAACATGGTAATTGAGTAAATCCTTCTGTTTAATTTAGATTCATTTAAATAGAATAATGTGAATCGTTTAAAAAAAATCCAAAAGGCTAATACAATAAAACAACTGGTTATATAATTTATTAAGGACTTTTTTTGAAATAAATAGTAGTTTTTACCTGCCATCTTTACACAAAAATATGTGATCATTTTAATTCTCGGTTGAAGAACCCTTCAGTTTAGTTAAACTAGTATATTTAATTTCTATAAGAAGTCAGCAGAAGTTAACTATTCCTTAAATGTCATTACATCATTGTTTGTGTTTAGGTTAGTTCATTTTTAATAAAACATATCTGGGGTATTAAATTATGTATTATAGTAGAAAGTGTAGATTATAATTTTGATAGGTAGAAGGTACTCTAGTCACATTTTTGATATCAGTCTATAACAACCTGTTCCTTTCTGTGATAAATTAATGTATTAAGTGTACCGTCATTTTAAGTGAAAAATCAACCAGTGTTTCGTGAAGGTTAAAACAGGTAAAACATAACATATGTATACATTCATCAGTCTGTGAAGGTAGTGATAGATTCGTGTTGGCAATATGTTTAGGGAACCATAAAAAATTATTGTAAGCGAGATATAGTACAGAAAATCGGAATTTCTAACATGGAAAGTACTACTAGTGTCGTCAGTACCCCGCAGTGGAAAAAAGATTTAATTGCCAGACTGAGAAATCAAAATAAAGCATCGTTTGGCAGCAGCAGCAAAGATCATCACTCTACCCCCCATCACTCTTCGGCTCATCGAACGGTACATCAACCTATCCTAACCTCCAAGAGTGAATCAGTAGCGTCTGATATTTCGCCGCGGTCGAGTGGTACTGATGCATCGGAACAACCGTGTAATGTGAGTCCGAAAATGGTGCAAGAACGAGTTTGGGTCGACAACAAGCCCGACCATTTCGCCGAAATGGTAGCTAATAATGGGTATCACAAGGAGAGCGACTCTGATTCGTCGGAAGAATTGCATTACGGCCCCGGTATAGTGAAAAAATTAAAAAATAAATACCTTAGTTTAGCCCTTCGGGAAAGCAATCATCGTCCTTCAATATTGAGAAAAGCCACATCATTAGAAAATCTACTGGATGATGATGAACCGGAAACTAAACATTCCTCAGATAAGTATGAATCACGATTTAATGGTGTTAGTGCCACTAGAAATGTACCCAATCGTTATAGAAATTCCAACCGGCATCATGAGATGAAAAGGGCCAGGTCTGTAGAAACTATTTCACGTTTAGACAATCAAACAAATAATGTGGTTTCAAATCGACAATCTTTACATGAAGAAACGCTTATCGCGGTTCAAAAGGAAGGAAATGACTACCCATACAGGAAAATACCAGATAACACTGATATCCAATCAGAAAATAAATTCAGTCAGAGAATAAACAGACCTAAAAGATTGCAACCTATAATGAATGAAAAAGAAAAACCTCCTGTAGATTTTGTGAAACAAGCAAAAATGATTTTTGAAAGAAGACCTGAACAACGTACTAGAGCACCTCCGCAAACTGGTGATGTAGCTGCTAAAGTTGATAGTTTTAATAATATAATTGTGAAAGCAAAAGTAGAAGCAAAAGCAACAAGAAAACCTCAAGTGAAGGCCCCGAAACCAGCACCTAATGACAAAAAAGTGATTGCACCACGTTCTCCAACAAAAACTGTGACTAAATCAGAAGAAAAAAAGCAGGTGAAACATTTAGAGCTCAACAAAGTGCCCAAAACTGATTTATCATTGCTCAGTCCAATTCCGGATATATCAAGAATAATTCCTACTGAAACAGAACGAGGTAAGCCATCTTCAAATTTATCAGAAACTCCAGACCTAATACTTACATCTAGTCCTTTATCTTCAATACCTCCACCAATATTTAAAAAACCTGAAAAATTAAATAATGAAGAACATCACAGTCCCAAGAGGGTTATAAGTCCGTTAGTAAGTCCCAGCAGAGTAAAACCAACAAGTCCATTATTTAGCCCAAGTGACAGCTGGTCACCAAGCTCAAACATGAGTCCTACACAATTTAGACCTACTACTTTAAATTATGATGATGATTCTGATTCATCGGGCTACAAAAAAGTATCTCCTACAAGTATTAATAATATTTCTAAAGATAGTGGTACATCTGTTGTTTATAAAGAATTAAGTCAAAATCACCTTCCCCTCAACAAAAATGTTTCTGAAACAAAAGTTCCACCTTCAGAGCCTCTCAAGATCGAAGTGAATGGTCATACAGATTCAAAAATTGACACAGGAGCTAAACTTTTACAAACTCAGAGACCACGTTCTCCGCCAAAGTTTACCCCTCCACCCCCACCTGTCAATGTTGTCCCTGAGAAAAAAATAGAGAAAAACTTAACTGTAACAGAAATTGAGAAAAATTCGATCAATACTGCAAAGAACAAGTCTAGTGGTAGTGATAAAGGGAGTGTTGAAGTTGTAAATAAAAATGTAGTGCCAAAAAAACTGAGAGCCAAAGAACCAGTTTCAAATACTACCATTATTGATTTTACGAAAAAGAATAGGGATATACCAGACTACATATCTAATGATAAATCAAGGACTCCTAGCAGACCAGAATTGCCCAAGGTGAGTTATTTTTTATTACTAGTTTTTTTTTTATGAGTAGTTGCAGGGTCATAATTAACTAAATACAAGAATTATATAACCAGTTTTTGGTAATCATTTACAAAAGTAGTTTTACTAATAACCTGATATTTAATTTTTTTTTCATTAATATTTAAAAAATGGTTATATTTTGTTAGTTATTGGTTGTTTTTCATGTAGTTAATTTGCTGTGCCATAATTAAATTGCATAAGTAATACAGCAATGGAAAACTAAATGTTTTAGAATATCTGGTTATTATACCGAAATACATAAATAGATATTGTTTAAGCAGTATGATACATATAATTCTAATTTAGCCCTATTCATTATCAGATATTTCTTAGTCGCAATAGTTTTTCCTTCGTAGGACCCTCTTTCCCTTGATCTTCCCTTTCACTATAAGTTGAGCAGATTGGTAATTATTATTTCTCACATAATTAAAGGTTAAAATATGTTTATTCACATTCAATTTCAACTTCGGAGAATGATCTCTGAAGCATCTGAGAGCGGAAATTGAAATGTCAATAAACATATTTTAACCGTTAATTGTGGCTTATTCCCATTTAAATAGTAATTATAGGTATGATGTTTTTCTAATGTTCACTGTGTTGAAAAGTTCTTGTTCCTTGCCTATTCTATGCAGCACTTCTTCCTTTGAGGTATGCGATGTCCATGAAATCTTCAGGTTTCTCATGTAGATCCACATTTCAAATGCCTCCAATTTATGCACCATTGATGTTTTAAAGGTCCATGTTTCAACTGCGTAGAGAAGAGTCAAAACAATAGTCAATTGAATGTAGTCAAATTTCGAGTTTTATTCAAGAATCACATAGCAGTCTTTATTACTCATAATAATTAACACATCAAAAACTTGACACTGATAGTGTTAGCAAAAATCTAATATTGTATTTATATGGGATTATTTCACAATCGATTGTAATAAAAATTACATTTTACATTTGTTTTATTGCAGTTTTGATCTCCAATCTGGAAATCAATCAATTTTGAAAAAAACATTATAAAACAATGAGGTATTTTAACCTCAAGTTGAGGTTAAGGTTAAAATAACTCCTTGTTCTATAATAATCAATGGTTTCTGGATGGGAGATTGAAAGATCAAAACAAATGTAAAATGTAATTTTTAATACAATCAATTGTGGTATAATTCCATATAAATATAATGTTTAAAGTAAATTTTCAGTTTTTCAATACACTGTTATTTATTTACAATTTATATAAGCCTGAGATTAATAAAACAAATATTAAGTAATTAAAATGCCCAACTAAAGTTTTAACAATTAATTTTAACAATTTAGTTGTATTTGACATTCTTTAGTTAGAACTTGTTGTATCCAAATTGTTTTCTCTAGTGATCTCAATTTGAATCCTATCCTTATTTTTCCAATTTTCAGTTTCACATCCTTAATAAATTTTTTTACTTATAAAATTCCACGAGGAAACTAAGTTCCTGTATACCATATATCACAAAAAAATTTTGTTAAAATCCTGTTGATAACTACTCGTTATCAACAGGTCCTCGTAGACACTTCGTCTCAGGACCATTTTACTCATGTAGAGTCATACGCCGCCATGTTACCTATCCAACGGTAACTTAACCATCACAAATTAGAAATACTAATAATGTAAAACAACTTCAAATTTATAACATTTAAAGGGTTTTTACCCATATATTTTGGTGGCTACTAGCATGTACAACCGTTTGCACTGATGATGGATTGTTTAATCCGAAAACGTTTTGCAATGTGTTTGTGATAGCCCGTTTGAGGCATTTTTATATACCTTTCATAAAGGATTTTAACAAAATTTTTTTTTTACTTATATTTGGATAAAAACTTATGGTTTAAACTTTTGAAAACTTTTTTTACCAAGACATCAGTGAGAATAATATAAAATATCCCACCAGCATCAGTATATTTTAAAACATGAAATAAAATGTGTAATTAACTAAGGAAACTCTCCCCCAATATATCATGTATGTTGGGAAGGATGTGTACAGATCTGTGATATTATAATTTTAGTTTTGATTGTAGTTTTGAATTATGTTTTGTATATACCCTAAATATATGTTCAGTGCAAAATATATAGGCTTCTAAGAAAGACAATTATCCATTTCTGAGATATGTTTGTTACCTGGTTAGGTTATAAAAATACTGTTCCAGTTATTGACAGTATTAGCTAACAATTGCTTGGCAGTTATGATAATTAATATGTTTGGCTTTTTCTTATACATTTTTGCAGAACCTGCATATTGCTCTGTGTACTTTACCTTTTTTACAAAGATATTTGAGTTAACAGTATCCACTGCTGACTCCTGTGCTTACTCTGAGTTTAGTTTTCTAAAGTTCTAGGAGTATTTTTAGTAGCAAACAGGGGATTGTTATATGTTTTTTGTTTGTTTTTGGCTTGGAATATTTTTCCTGTATGTTGTAATACATTTCTTAGTTTCCATTTTCGCATATCTTCTACTAGGAAGCTTTGGGTGTATTTCAGAGATTCTGTTCTGGTAAAAAAAGGATTTTGAGCATTTTGAAATCTTATTTTGCACACATAATCTCTATGGGAATTGTCATGTATTGAAGAATCATAAATTAATATTTGTTTGAACCCTTAAAATCTCCTGATGTCCAGTCAAGCTTAAGTGGAGTTGTTAAGGAGTCAGACTTTATAATTACGGTTTTAAGGTAACTGATACTAAATTAGAAATTAACTTTTACCAAACTTTATAGAGTATCAATTATTAAAGATGGTATTATAACAAACAAAAAGTTTGGTATCTATAAAACAATCTGTGTAAATCAACCTCCATGTATTATTTAACTAAGTAATAATTTTGTAATTAGTGTGATTTCAAATAATTTAATTTGTTTAATATTGCAACGCCACTGCATGGGTCTGATCATAGATATATTCTATTGTCTGCACGATTAACTATTTCGTGGAAGGGCTTGCCACCCGATTTGAAATAAGCTGTAACAATATTCAAGAACAGCGATTTTTTTGTTCATTTTGCAATAACTGTTTTTGTTTATCATCCGATTTTAATTTAGCATATCTCATTTTATATATCTTTTTTTTTTCTGAAAAAGTTGTCTGTTGACGTCAAATTTCTAAATAGACAAGCTTTTAAGCTATGAGCAAAGTAGCTATGAGTTTGGCGTCTTGATTATTTATTTAAACATATTTCCACTAAAAAATTTATGAATCTCTAGATGATAGTCTGTTTGTATTATCTTATACTACACATTTCAACTGTCAAATCCTTCTATACAGTTATGACGAAAAAATTCTTATTTTTTACTAAGTAACGTGATTGGTCTATAATATCTATCTACCCCAGTAGAGGTAATTAATTCCAGTGTTACCATTATGTTTACACTTTTTTTTCAAAGTTTTATTGTATCATCAATGACTACACTTAGAATTCAAATAATTGTCTATTAAATGCTTGATAATTAATAAAAATAATTTCCTTATACTTAATAGAATCATTGAACACATTTTGTCCCTGAGAAAATATTTGGTATTATGTGATAGACTTTAATAAACAATTTATGATATCAAATACTTAACAATTTAGAAATTATCTTATCTACATTGTTGTCATATACCCATTATAAATAGGATGTCAGCTTTGATCTTTGTCCTCCACCCACAATTTTTATGTTTAATAAAATCGATTTCGAAATATATAAAGAGGAAATAAAATATTATTTTCATGTGTTTAATCTTATAAGCAGTAACTAAATTGTAGTAGTAAGCATTTACCGATTAAGTAATAACAATAATACTCAAAGTTGTTTTTAATGAGAAAATAAAAACATATTTACAGGGTAATCAAGAATTAGATCAATACTCATAATCACTGTCGACGGTATCTTTATTTGGGTTGTAAATGATGACTGGGTTAATTGCTTCGATGCTATTTTCACACATCCAACATTTTTCTATGAACTTTTCACATTTCCGCACACTTTTTTCCCAAATTGCAGAAGTAGCAGTATTCAATGCTTCTTGCCATGTTTCCAAAACTGCTGCGTCACTGTAACCGTTACTTCCAATATAATTATCATAGTAAGTTTTGCATATTCCCCAAATATGTTCAATGGGATGTAATTCACAATGGTAAGGGAATAGTCTTAACACATGTCCAAAACTATATAATCTCGTCTACTATAAATATGTTTGATTTTTTATTCGTTTTGGCTAACTGTAGTAAGTCTTAACACATTATGTCCAAAACTATGTATAATCTCATCTACTATAAATATTTTTGGCTCTTCATTCCTTTTGGTTAACTGTGATAATTTTGGTTTGAAAGAATACTGAGGAAATAAATTTTTTTATTCGCTAACCATTCTTTTATTTTACGCACTGCCGTATGAGCAGATTCATGTTCATGATGGGAAGCAGATTTTCTTTCAACCATTTCACAAACATCTCATGTTATCGTAATAATCAGCCGATTTTAATTTTGATGAAAACACAAGATCCGCTCCATCAATTGAATCATGTTTTCCACCCGTATGCAATATCATATTTAGTCCAGTCTGGTTAAGCAAAAATCATCCATTTCACGGCAAAATTTTTCGCAGATATTTGAAGCTTTTAAGACAAAGGTGGGGGTTACAAGATGACGAATAGATGAAAAAGTATTCGTATTTTAACCTTGCTTTTTTTTAACAATAATTTAGGGTCACAATTTGATTCGATGTTCAAATGTATTAATAACATTTTATTTGGTTAATAAAAAATTAATAAACTTATAAATTAGTGCAAAAAAAACTTTTTGCCTTTATCTCCGTAAATTATTTATCAATTTTAATTTAAAAAACGGGAAAATAAAGATATTCTTTATATAAGAAAATAATATAAATATTGTTTATGTAAAACTATACCATAAATTATTATTTTAAAAAAAATAACGCAAGGAAAAAACACGAGTAGTTTTTCATTTATTCATCTAGTAACCCCCACCTATGTCTTAAAAGCTTCAGAT